GCAGATTCGCCAGTTCTGTGATACGGTGGGAGAACTGACTTGGGTTTTGCGTTTGTGTTCGCAAATGTTTCGGTTTAGCAAGAGTCGCCACCGACTTTTTATTTTATCCTAAGGAAAGGTCAAAAAGCATAGGAAAGACCTTTGAGATGTTTTCTTGGGTTCGGGGAGTAAATTATAGAAAGGGAAGGTATTAGCACCCTTTTTATTCATGGTTATCCATGGGCTCTTAGTTATTTGCTTATATCACTTGCTTTGCATTTTCAATTGTTTGAAATGGTGCTTTGTGTGTGGTTTTGAAAGATGTTTTGAAAAGAGGCCATTTGTTGTGTCAACCTTTATAATGATTCTTGTTTGAATGTATACAAAGGTGTTTGTTTTTTTGAAAAGATAATTCAATGTTTTGTTTTGAAATTGTTTTTGAATTTGTGTTGTGATGTGTGTTTGAAAAATGGCAAGGATGTTTTGCAAGATTTTTGATCAAGTAACTAAGAGTTGTCTACCCTATTTTACTCAAAGATTTTCTTATGTTTCAACCCTTTTAACAGTGTTGTTTCACCATTGTGTTTGATGAACAACCTTGTGTTAGGATGTTTAACGGGACAGGCGCGGGTCATCGTATACAATCATTGAAGGCAACTTGTGAGACGCTCTAGCAATTTTTGTAAGGGACGAGATCGTTTTATCGAAGGAAACATCGAGGGTCATCGAGGGACTACGATCTTTGTTTATCAAAGGGACATTCGCTAGAGTGTCTCATACTCGAGGGACATGATTGCATTTTCCGAGGCAACAAGTGAGGTTACCCTAGAGGTGCAAGTGTGAATGGTGTATTGATTTTCATGCATTTATCTTGTATTAGGTTATCTAGCGGTTGATTTTGAATCTTCGCATGCAAACCCTAATTACTATACAGTATATGGAAAGCGATAAATTGCAGGAATTTAAAGTCTAAGCTATTATAAATAAGTATCCGGGGATGGGGTACAAATGTTTACAAATGGGGACGAGTCTTATCAAAATAGTAATGTCCAAATATTATTTACAACCAAATCGAATCGTCGCATTCTCAATGTAAAAATATAGCAAGGTATAAGAATCAAAGAGAATCAAAAGTATTGTAAAATGCATATGATTATTTACAAATGATCAAAATATTAACCTAATGCAAAAATAAGTATTTTTATTATTTTTTTGTATTTTTGTTAGTGTTATATAAACAAAAAAGGGGTTTTAAAGAGAAAATTAATTAACTTAATAAATTCTATTTTTATGTATTTTGTTAATGTTATTTAGGATTTTATATAAAAAGATTTATTAAACAAAAAAGTTTTAAGACAAAAAATATATCATTTACAAACTTTTAAATGTACTAAATATTAAAAGCTATTAAGAAAATTTTGTACAAAAAGTTAATATATTATTTTTTACTTAACAAAATAGGTTATGAAAAAAGAAATAAGATGATAATATAAAAAAATATTGATTTGTATAAAAAAGGTTAAGAGATTAAATGGGCTTGAAGGAAATACTTGGCCCAAAAAAAACAATCAAAACAGATTAAGAAGAAAAAAAATGGGGGTCTGGCGCCAGGATTATTGGGCCTTGGTGTTTGATGGGGCAGAAGCCCAAACGTATTTGACAAGTTTTCTATTAGGGTTTGGCATTGTTTGACTCAGAACCTAGGTTTGTAGTTTGAAACGGCACCTCTCTCCTCTCATCTTCTTCGCCTCTTCATCGTTTCAAGCAAAGCTACTGATTCCCTTTCCAACCCTCAGGCCACCAGAATGCCACCTCCATTTCCTCTTCCTCGCGTTTACACAGGGCGATGATTAAAAGGGTAACGTTTTCCTTCTAGCGTGTTTTAGGGTTTTTGTTCTTTGCATGTTTTAGCTTTTACATGTTTTGATCTTTGACTGTTTATGTTTGTGATGTGAGATGCAGAAAAAGGAAGGGAGAAAATGATACCTTGCTGACCTCGTTTCTAGAGAGGCAATGGAAAGGGAGTTTGGGATGGAGGCGCTCTTAGAGTGGCCGGAGGTGGGAGGCATGTGGTGGCAAGGGCTTGCTTCCTGGTATTTGTATCTTTAACTTCGTTTTGTGATGATAATGTTTCTGAAAACGCTGCCTTTGATATGTTCTTCTGAGATGGCTTTGGTTATGTTGATTTTGCCAATGATGAACTCTGTTCTGAGGCGCCTGTTATTGTTAAGTTGTTTCACTTCTGACTTCTCTCTTCTTTGTGGACTTTGGTGATTTTCAATGATGAGTTTAGTTCTGAGATGTTTGTTTCTGAGTTTCTTGCACCTTCTTAACGTTTGTCAAATCTGAAACTTGCTTGTTGTTCTGATTTGAGATGATTAGGTTGATGATGATAAATTCTGAGACATTGCTTTTATTGTTATTTTGGTGTTTGGATTTGGTGTTTGGTTTGGATTGAAGGCAAGTTTGCTTTTGATTTTAGGAAGGCAGGCTTGTTGGTATTTGCAATTTGAACTGGTTTTTCTGTTGAAGGTTATGCAGGCTTGATGTTATAGGCAGGTTTGAGAACACAAGTTTGTTGTGTAGGCTTGAAGGTTTATGGTATTGGCAAGCTTGGTTATGCAGGCTTGCTTGTGGTTTGTGTTCACAGTTTTGTAGGTTTTATGCAGGCAGGCTTGTGATAAACTTGCAGGTTTTGAAACAAGTTTCTAGCAGGTTTGAAGACTTGCTTGTTTTTTGTTTGGAAGGCAGGTTTAGGACTTGCTTCTTGTATGGGCAGGCTTGCTGTTATGCAGGCTTGGTGTTTTGCTTGTGTTTACAGTTTTTTGTGGTTCTCTCTTTGTGTTCTTCCCCCCTTGAACTGTTAGAACAATGTTATATTTATCTATATCTCTTAGCCTGCCAAACTGCAAACCTTTTTACTTTCTCTCTTCCTCTCTCTCCATAAAAAAGCATATTTTATTGCTTAATATCTCTTTTTCTGAAAAGGTTGTTGGCTTAGGGAAAATGATGAAAAGGTGCTTGCTTGCATCTTGATTTTTCTCTGCATTTTGTCCTTTTTTCCAGATTTTCTGCATTGCCCTTTTTGATAGCTTGTATGCAGCTTTGTTGACAGCTTCTTTGACAGTTTTGTTGACAGCTTGGTTGATAGCTTCTTTGACAGTTTGTGTAACTTAGTTTGCTTTGTGTAGCGGTGAAAATCGGAGATCAAGCTATTAATTAACTTGACTCACAAAAAGCAAGAGTCGCCACCGCGCTTTATTATTTCCAAGGGAAAAGGGAAAAGAGCGAAATAAAACCCTAAAGTATGCAATGTAAATTAATATTTAAAAGTAATGAAAATACAATGTGTTTTTAAAAGAGATCGAGAGTTCGGGGGTTGGTTATACAATGGGAAAGTATTAGCATCCAATGCATCTGCGGTACTCCACAGGAACCTTTTGAAATATCTGTTTTTGGTTAAAATTGTTTGTTTGATTAAAATGGTTTGTTTGGGCTAAAGTGGTTTGTTTGGCTAAAAATAATAGGTGTTGGCGAGATTTTGAAGATGTGATAACCTAATGTCGAAGTTTTGACTTAAAAGGGTGTGAGTTTGAAAATGGAGTCTTTTGGGAAAATTATCTTGAGTTTAGCAAAATAGTAAACAAACAACAAAAAAAATGAAAAAAGGGTATTCGCACGATCAGATGAGATGTATTTGATGACGTGAAGTCAACAAATTTAAATCTTTCCCTTGGAGTTAAAACCACAGACGGATAAATAAGCTAAGAGTATATCAAACCTTAGGTGAAAATATATCACAAGCCGACAGCATCATCAAAAAACCTAATGTGAGATAATACTCCAAGCATCAGATAAAGCGCAAAGGCGGTGGATAAAGCTCACGGTGTCAGATAAGAATCCCTGCATCACAAGAGATATACCGACAAAATCTAACAGCACGGGAAACTTATGTGCGTCCGCACAATTTTCAGAAGTTAGCTGGAATTAAAAATAAAATCACAATGCAATGAAAATAATATTTTCAAAACCTGAATTTATTTACAAGTAAAATATACAGTCAAAATATTATGTACAAGTATATATTTACAGTACCAAATAAAATAAAAATAATGAAATACAATAAAAAGGTAAAAGGAGAAGTGTAGGAATTATGGATGCGTTAGGTGAGAATGGATACTTGAAACGATTTTTTTGGAAACCTTCACAGTAGCAAACGCGTTAGTAGCATAAGCGGTATAAAAATTAAAATGAATGAAATTGCAACAAGATTTGAATTTATGTTAATAATCACGAAGTATCAAAATAAAAATGAACTTGTATGATGCATATGAACAAATGAATATTTACACAAATCAAAAATCAAGAATTCATGATATTGTTCAATGTAAACACACACAAAAAATCAGCATTATCAAAAGTTAGACAACAACAAATTATGCATAAAAAGCTCATGAAAATTAATTTTCAAGTGATTCAAAACTTATGTACAAACACTAATATTAAACCAACAAACTTTGTGAATTGAATTCAATTTGAAACATCATCAAAACAAATTTCTAAATAACTTAAACAATAAAACAACATCAACACCGACAATTCCAAATTAATCAATTCATGCCAAAATTACATTAAGTCCAAAAAGTGATGAAAATAAGTTTGGAGTGCAAGTTTCAACAAGGATAAATCCGGGCAGCAACTCGACAATATGTCGGTGCTCCAAAATCAAAGAAAAGTCTCAAATTCAACTTGAACAATTTAATCCAATTTCAATATCATTTTCAATACTTGAATCAATTTAAGTTAGAAGACAATGTCATCCTTAAAATTCAAAGCTAGATTCAACAACCAAAATTGACATCAATAATTTCGAACAAATACTTAGACAACAACCACAAAATCCAATTCAACACACACCTTATGTAATTTGAAGACCACAACCCGCTGCATTGCTGGCAGAATCGCTGAGTTAACCCAGCGGCGATGACGGTGGCTGCCTTGGAGTGAAACTCGCAAACCTTATGTCAGCGGTGGTAGCGCTTCGCCTGAGACAGATCAACATTGCATCCTTCGGCCTGGCACCTAGGCGAGTTGGAATAGTAAAGACTCTAGTGGTAGAGTCAGATATGCAAAGTTTAACAGTGGAATTTTCACAAACATGTAGAGCACAGGTTGGTAGGCGAAACAAATTGTGCCGTGAGAATGCTCGTCTGATAATGTAGGCAGCCATCACACACCTGTTTGATTCTAATCTTGCTCTGTAGAACAACAATGATAAATTAATCATAAACATAAAGTAACTACTTTTAGTGCTAAATTTCAAAAAAAGAATATAGAAATTTCAGTTCATAGACTTTGTTTTTGCTACGTGACACTTTGAACCAGTATTGTGAAAATATGTGTTCTGCAAATTGTGGTGCTTAAGTGTGGAATAGCGGTGCGAAGTGTGGCTTTCGCGGCCACAAATCGCGGTGAAGTGCATTCTGGTGCGAAGAGAGATGACGGAAATTGGGAGTTACAGAAACAGGTGGGTTACAGTGTTGCTGTGCGTTCTGAGCGGGATGCGGATGTGAGCGGAGTTTTGATGAAGGGGGTGCTGGAATGGTTGGGTTTAATGGGTTTGAGATGGTGATTGAGTGTTAACAGTGGCTGCTTGCGGAGATGGATCGGATGATAATTGTGGTGGTGAGTTGAATACGATAATGGTTGTGGTGAATTGAGGAAGTGGATTTTGTTGGTTTAATGAAAGGGAGTATATGGGTTTGGAAGAGGGAATTACTAGCGCAAATGAGGGGGTGGACAAAAGTTCACAGGCGAAGGTATGAAGGGATATTGGGGAAGGGTGTTGTTACAGTGGATGTGAATTGAATAGAGAGAGATGGTAGCAAGTGTGGTTTACTGCTAATGCCTTTTTTGTTTGTTTTTTGTTGTGTATATAAGAAGAGAGGATAGGTTACTGTGTATTGAAAGTGAGTTATGTTTTGGTGATTTTGTATCGATCCGTAAATTCTGCCAGCAACCAATGAAAATCAAGCATAGTATATTTAATATTTTTTTGTGACTAAAAAGCCCTTTAATGACAAAAATAAAAATAAAAACTCGAAAGTATAAAAAATAACTCAATTTAAAATGATTTTTTTTTGAATATTTTATGAATAAAATATAAAGACCCAAAAATGACCGAAAATGATTAAAAAAAAACAGACGAAAATTTATCCGAAAAAATAAAATGAACACATTAAAATAATCTACATGTCACAAAGATTAAATAAAAATATTCAAGAAGTCAAAAAATCAAAAATAAAATAATAATAAAAATATCAGACTAAACAGACGTTTATGGTTTAAAATGAGACTTCAAACTACACCGAAAAATAAAGCGAGCATACCGTCATAATCTACGTGAAACGCAGATTCATAAAATGATCGGTAAAAGGTTAAAACTTGAAATATTTTTCTCGCTAATTTTCGTATAGTGTCGAATCGCTTTTAACAGCCTGTCTGTAAAACTTGAATATTTTTATTATTGACATATAAGAAACTTGGAGCCATGCAAGAAATGAGTAAACAGATAAAAATGCATGAAGTGAAATGTCAGGTATTTTTAACTAAAAAATGATGCAAACTTTGATTTAAACTGACTTTTCTGGTCAATTCAAATACGACTAATGATGCAAAATATGATGAATGAAGATATTTACTAATGATTGTGACCAAATGACAAAATATGGTATGAAAGTGCGACTGAAAAAATTAGGGGCGAAATTAAGGGTGCAACGGTGTGCCTTGATGAATCAGTCTTCGAGAATCCACAATCAACCGTACTTCTGGCTTGGGAGACTCAAAACCTTCATTGAGGCGCGACACCTGATGCTCTTGATTCAGACCTGTCTCTGCACATGACACAAAAGAACATGAACATACACCTTTGTATGCGATTAGAAATTAGTGATACATATGCTAAAAATGTTCAAAACACTTGACAATCTTCGCATAGTCAAAGCTCGAAGGTGAGACGTTAAAACTGACCGTATTTCGTGACCTTGACTTATCTTAAAAAATGCAAAAATAAAAATGGGATCTTAGGTCAAAAATTGGGGTACAACAGCTGCCCCTATTTAAGTTTCTTCTATCTGGAGATATGAAGATTGGGATCTTCATTTCGACGAGATTGAAGGGACTTAAATATAGAATACACAATTTTTGGCCTTAAGATACCGCGATTATGTTTACGATATGATATGAATGTGATGTTTTGAATTTTATGGGGAATGACGCCATATGAGACAGACTATGCTGGAGAAACCAAGCACATTATACAGTAATCCTACAGGGGAACAGATTATAACATCACTGGGGAAACAAAGTCATAGACTTCAAATGAGAGACTCTTGAATGATTTACATCAGTACTGATACTGGAAAAGCATATGATTGACATCAGTACTGTGATTGGGAAAGAAAATGATGGACATCAGTACTGAGACTGGAAAGTGATTAACAGCAGCACTGTGGCTGGAGATAAACATCTCTGATTTCTGAATTTTACCAAGAACGGTAACACATTTCTTCTTTAACCAAGATATCGCTTGAAAAGGATAAAATAACAAACTTCCCCATGGGACTTTTCCGAAAGGGATGCCATTTGCTGAGTAGACATTATTGTTGGGGATACACAAGCTGCTCGAATAAAGAGGCCGCCACTTGCTTCCTTTCAAAGGTGTCAATAACATACAAGATGCTCATGAAGAGACTGCCACTTGCCGTCTTCAAAGAATATTAAAGCGCACAAGCTGCTCATGAAGAGACCGCCACTTGCTGTCTTCAAAGAATATTAAAGCACACAAGCTGCTCATGAAGAGACCTCCACTTGCTGTCTTCAAAGAATATTAAAACACAAGCTGCTCATGAAGAGTCCGCCACTTGTTGTCTTCCAAAAATACTAACGTACAAGCTGCTCATGAAGAAACTGCCACTTGTCGTCTTCAAAGAATATTAAAGCACACAAGCTGCTCATGAAGAGACCGCCACTTGCTGTCTTCAAAGAATATTAAAACACAAGCTGCTCATGAAGAGACCGCCACTTGCCGTTTTCAAAAAGTGTTGATAACATACAAGTTGTCCATGAAGAGACTGCCGCTTGCTGTTTGTCAAGAGCATCCATAACACACAAGTTGCCTCATGAAGAGACTGCCGCTTGCTGTTTCCCACAAAGATACCCATAAAATATCGTGAAGATATTGCTGGAGGTGAGAACCAATAATTTCATCGGGGATGGACAAACTGCTCATGAAGAGACCGCCATTTGTCGTAGAGAAATCAGAAATAATCAAACTGCTCAAATAAAGAGTCAGTCACTTGTTGTCATGTCGATATTCCAGAAGAAGATTGTGATAACACTACTAGGGAATAAAGTTCATTTTCAATGGGAAACCATGAATGGATTCTTCCCGAGAAGACCAAGTATTTACATTGCAAAATAAATGCACTCTTCATCTAGGTTTCACAGCCTAGAGACATCCATAGGGTATCATTCACAAGAGACAAAGCTCAACCCAGGAATAAACTGGAGAGAAAAACAGTCAAACAAGACTCCACCCAATGAGGAAATAACTCAAATGGGGATTTATCCTATCTAGAGATGGAAAAGGAAAGCTAAAGCAAGATTCTTCCACGAGAGTTAACTCAGTGGGGAATTAGAAAGAAGACGCACTTTCTACTTAAGTTGGCACTCTATTTGGAAAGATCAAATACATTATTTGAATAGACACAACCAAGGTATACGAACTCAATGACATCAACAAATACAACTGTGCGTGCATGATGCAAGTGTAAATGAATAAATGAATGCCATGTATGTGCTGACAAAACAAATAGACAAGATAAACTGGAGATGATAAGACATCATAGCACAACCCAACACTCGGCTAATCTCAACAGAATGGGAACATTACTGGAGATAAAAACAAAATCCATCATTGGAGCAAAGTCCTTTTACAAGGTTTAAATATCTATGAAGAGGAAGATATATTTTTTTGTAGAAAACCCAAAGTCCAGTCTTCTATCGTCAACAATCCATTGAAAGGATAACAACATAAACAATTTTTCAACTGGAAAAAATCATGCTTAGCTGGAGATACTGGGAACACCACCCTCTGATAATGTGTGCAAAACATATCACATATCTTAACAAATCTGGATTGCCCCTGGAACTAATTTTGGATGCCCCAAGTTTACTGCTGATAAGCTGCATGTTGCACGATAATTCTTGCGAATAACTTCACTTCTAAAATACCCCAAGCTATATGGTTGATAAGGAGAAATCGTCTCAAGAGGATTTTACAAAAGACCTGGCATTCACTATGCTCTGGTGTCTTCAAACTCTTAGAGAGGTTCATCAAATCTCGATGTGATTTCCCCGGATTGACTGTAGTTGTCACAACAAAGTCTTCAAATTTTGCCCCAAAAGGGTAAACAAGTTGGAAAAGCATTAACTGGGAGAAGCAACATGTCCGTGCTTATGGTCTTCAGGTGACATGCCCCTGGATATGATTTTTTTGAAATGATTCTCCAATTACTCAACAGAGTTTCAGGCCTTAAAAGAATAAACTCATCACTGGTGCTTATATGTGAGTTTCCTTGATATCAAACAAATGTTTTGCAGTTAGAAAATTTTATTATGAGAATGAAAATTCTAATGCAACAGTTATGTAAGTCTTGAAGATTTTGAAAAGACATCGCACAAATTTTGCGAGTTAGAGCATCATTTATTTTTGTATAGGAAAAACATATGATACCAACATAACTATTTAACAAACATTCATGGGAGTCAAGAACACTATCTCATGGAAGTATGCTTTCAAAATAACCTTGCTTCAATTAGGACTTTTGAAGGTTGTAACGTGGTATGCTTCATGGTTTTTAGAAAAAAGATTTTAAGGCTCAAAATATTTTGTGCCCACCCATTCTTCATGATGTTCTCCAACCCTATGTTTAGTTAATTCAACATGAGTGTTCATCTCTCAAAAGGATTTTGTGACGGTCAAGGAAACGACGAGGTTTTTGGAGTAGAAACCACCCTTATGTCTTCGTGTTTGTAGTCACCAATTTGTTCTTTGCTGAGGAATTTTCTTTGTATTCCTTTCCTTGCAATTTTTATTTTCCCTAACTTTTGCTTGAACTAATTTTTTGAATTGATAGTCCAGCGGGATGCCTTAATTTTGCCTAAGTCACACGTTTTCATTTTTTTTTTTTGACTTAGCAGGCTTTTCTTTTTCTTGACTTTTGACTTTTTGAACAAAATATGGGACATTAGCTTGTCTTTGCTTGTTGAGAGGATTGTGATTGCCTCGTTTCTTGATGAATGAGGGATAACATTGTGGTTCCACATCCTCTAGATTCATTATACATGAAGGATAGCCCTCGTAGTTTCTCTTCAAAAAACATCTTCCTTATGAATTTTGAACACTCAGTCGGATTAACTAAAAACTACCCTGCCCCAGGTTAAAATTCAAGGTTTTTTCGTATAGAAAAGAAACTTCTGCTTCAAAGGCTCAAAAGGGGTTAGCAAGGGATTATCTTCCTTATATCTCCGGTGTTTAGGGATTTGAAATAATGCATGTACATCATCAGCAAGATTTTATCCAAAAGCAAACAACCAGAGATTTTGTGTTCTTTAGATCATCATCCTCCCTTCAATCTCTGCCTAGGCAAGAGAATGGGCAACAAGTTGGTATCATAATGCCAAAAGAAATTTAAAATTTGAAAACAAATATGAGTGAAACGAATGAATTTCTTCAAGACAAACATACTCATTGTATTAAGATAATCATACAGATGCAAACGAGTTCTTACATGCAAACAATGTTTTGATAAAAAAGAAAAATTACAAAAAGCAGAAATAAGTTAATAATCTAGGAAGGCTTTCCATCTGGACTTGAATTACCGAAAACATCATTCAAAACTCAAAGTGACCATCAATCATGTTTACTCTTCGGCACATGCTTGATTTGAACTTCAAAACCAACGTCCTTGAATGACAAGATACCACTTCTGACCAACTTCTGAACCTCGATCTTCAAAGCAAAGCAACCCTCCAAGTCATGCCCAGGAGCACCTTGATGAAAGGTACATGTCAAATCAGCTTTGTAGTACCAATGTATCTTCTCAGGAACCTTCAGTGGAGGTCGGGTCCGAACCAAATTCCTCTGCATCAGGATAGGGAACAACTCTGTATAGGTGATTGGAATTGGATCAAACTGGGTTTTCCTCTGATTAGGAACTTGTTGATTCTGTTGATGAATAGGAGAAACATGATGATTCTGATGATGATTATTTCTTCCTCTGGTTCTCTTCTTGGAAAAGTCATTATCAAACTTCTTCACACCATTAGCTGAGCTACCATCTTCATATAAACATCCCTTTCAGACATCTTCTTCTAGACGCACTCCCACATTCACCTTGTCAGGAAAGTCACTAGGCGCATTAATTATCATCTTCTCATGAATGAATGATTTCAGAGTTTCAGTGAAGACTTTTATCATCGCTTCTTTCCTCCTAGAAGGATTGACTTGGGAGGCAACCAAAATTTCAACCAAAACAGTTGAGTGATTCATACCAGCTTTCAAATTAGTCACCTCTCCGTGGAGTTCAGAAATATCTTGCTTGATATTCTCCATTGTTCTCTTAGCGTCAGTGTTGTACTGGTGAGACCAAAGGAAAAATAAGACTTGGAAAAAGACCTTTGAAAGTGAAACAAAAAATGTAGAATGATGCATGATATGCAAAAGAGAGTTTTTATTTGACTTTCAAGGAACTCGAGATATTAAGTTGTAAACATCAAAGTATGAAGATAGAAGATGAATTTTAAATTGGCTCCAAACATTGATCAAGTTATCATCAAGATCAATCATCCATTTTGGTGGATTAGGGTTTTCGCCCTATCAACACCCAAGATCCATTGAGCTTGACGAAACTTGTGATGTTTACAAAGAAAGACTTCCAAATTCCTTCAAAGTCAAGTGAAAAGGGTTTTATGGATGCATGAACGCATGGCTATGCAACAACCACAAGCAAGGTCACAAATAAAGTCGAAAGGTTCAACGTCACGAGCATGGGGTCAAGGTAAGGAACACCCCCAAGGTATGTACTAACGGTTTAATCACACCTGTAGAACAAGGTTCTAAGAGTTCCCGGAGTCTACATTCCTCCTTCGGATATTACCAACGGCTTGATTACTCAATAATCAGCAATATTCTCAAGAGAAACTCATCCGAGCGTAGCATCGCGTAACAATTACTTCCGGATTACTCCGTTATAATCTCCGCGCTACACCTAAAAGGCCAAGATGGGTTAGGGTTCTATGGTTCCCAGCTTCTCTGGCTCCCAGGTCGAAAATAATAATGTCTTCCCGATTACTCGGTAAACAAAGATTACGTTCAAAAGGGCCTTCCACTGAGTGGGGGATCTCATGCCTCCTTCTTCGGGATTACTCCCTCAAAGTTAACATGACTATACCGCCCGTCCTATTCCTAAGTGTAACTTAGTCCGGGTATAGGACTTGTCCTTTGTAAATATTATCAACACCCAAATAATCATAATATATACATATAATCAAACAATCAAATAATGATAAAACAGATAAAACAAATTAGGCTTGACCCACTTAGGGATGAACCAGCAAGAGGTCAATCTTTCCCCAGCAGAGTCTCCAATTCTGTAGCGGTGAAAATCGGAGATCAAGCTATTAATTAACTTGACTCACAAAAAGCAAGAGTCGCCACCGCGCTTTATTATTTCCAAGGGAAAAGGGAAAAGAGCGAAATAAAACCCTAAAGTATGCAATGTAAATTAATATTTAAAAGTAATGAAAATACAATGCGTTTTTAAAAGAGATCGAGAGTTTGGGGGTTGGTTATACAATGGGAAGGTATTAGCATCCAATGCATCTGCGGTACTCCGCATGAACCTTTTGAAATATCTGTTTTTGGTTAAAATTGTTTGTTTGATTAAAATGGTTTGTTTGGGCTAAAGTGGTTTGTTTGGCTAAAAATAATAGGTGTTGGCGAGATTTTGAAGATGTGATAACCTAATGTCGAAGTTTTGACTTAAAAGGGTGTGAGTTTGAAAATGGAGTCTTTTGGGAAAATTATCTTGAGTTTAGCAAAATAGTAAACAAACAACAAAAAAAATGAAAAAAGGGTATTCGCACGATCGGATGAGATGTATTTGATGACGTGAAGTCAACAAATTTAAATCTTTCCCTTGGAGTTAAAACCACAGACGGATAAATAAGCTAAGAGTATATCAAACCTTAGGTGAAAATAAATCACAAGCCGACAGCATCATCAAAAAACCTAATGTGAGATAATACTCCAAGCATCAGATAAAGCGCAAAGGCGGTGGATAAAGCTCACGGTGTCAGATAAGAATCCCTGCATCACAAGAGATATACCGACAAAATCTAACAGCACGGGAAACTTATGTGCGTCCGCATAATTTTCAGAAGTTAGCTGGAATTAAAAATAAAATCACAATGCAATGAAAATAATATTTTCAAAACCTGAATTTATTTACAAGTAAAATATACAGTCAAAATATTATGTACAAGTATATATTTACAGTACCAAATAAAATAAAAATAATGAAATACAATAAAAAGGTAAAAGGAGAAGTGTAGGAATTATGGATGCGTTAGGTGAGAATGGATACTTGAAACGATTTTTTTTGGAAACCTTCACAGTAGCAAACGCGTTAGTAGCATAAGCGGTATAAAAATTAAAATGAATGAAATTGCAACAAGATTTGAATTTATGTTAATAATCACGAAGTATACAAATAAAAATGAACTTGTATGATGCATATGAACAAATGACTATTTACACAAATCAAAAATCAAGAATTCATGATATTGTTCAATGTAAACACACACAAAAAATCAGCATTATCAAAAGTTAGACAACAACAAATTATGCATAAAAAGCTCATGAAAATTAATTTTCAAGTGATTCAAAACTTATGTACAAACACTAATATTAAACCAACAAACTTTGTGAATTGAATTCAATTTGAAACATCATCAAAACAAATTTCGAAATAACTTAAACAATAAAACAACATCAACACCGACAATTCCAAATTAATCAATTCATGCAAAAATTACATTAAGTCCAAAAAGTGATGAAAATAAGTTTGGAGTGCAAGTTTCAACAAGGATAAATCCGGGCAGCAACTCGACAATATGTCGGTGCTCCAAAATCAAAGAAAAGTCTCAAATTCAACTTGAACAATTTAATCCAATTTCAATATCATTTTCAATACTTGAATCAATTTAAGTTAGAAGACAATGTCATCCTTAAAATTCAAAGCTAGATTCAACAACCAAAATTGACATCAATAATTTCGAACAAATACTTAGACAACAACCACAAAATCTAATTCAACACACACCTTATGTAATTTGAAGACCACAACCCGCTGCATTGCTGGCAGAATCGCTGAGTTAACCCAGCGGCGATGACGGTGGCTGCCTTGGAGTGAAACTCGCAAACCTTATTTCAGCGGTGGTAGCGCTTCGCCTGAGACAGATCAGCATTGCATCCTTCGGCCTGGCACCTAGGCGAGTTGGAAGAGTAAAGACTCTAGTGGTAGAGTCAGATATGCAAAGTTTAACAGGGGAATTTTCACAAACATGTAGAGCACAGGTTGGTAGGCGAAACAAATTGTGCCGTGAGAATGCTCGTCTGATAATGTGGGCAGCCATCACACACCTGTTTGATTCTAATTTTGCTCTGTAGAACAACAATGATAAATTAATCATAAACATAAAGTAACTACTTTTAGTGCTAAATTTCAAAAAAAGAATATAGAAATTTCAGTTCATAGACTTTGTTTTTGCTACGTGACACTTTGAACCAGTATTGTGAAAATATGTGTTCTGCAAATTGTGGTGCTTAAGCGTGGAATAGTGGTGCGAAGTGTGGCTTTCGCGGCCACAAATCACGGTGAAGTGCATCCTGGTGCGAAGAGAGATGACGGAAATTGGGAGTTACAGAAACAGGTGGGTTACAGTGTTGTTGTGCGTTCTGAGCGGGATGCGGATGTGAGCGGAGTTTTGATGAAGGGGGTGCTGGAATGGTTGGGTTTAATGGGTTTGAGATGGTGATTGAGTGTTAACAGTGGCTGCTTGCGGAGATGGATCGGATGATAATTATGGTGGTGAGTTGAATACGATAATGGTTGTGGTGAATTGAGGAAGTAGATTTTGTTGGTTTAATGAAAGGGAGTATATGCGTTTGGAAGAGGGAATTACTAGCGCAAATGAGGGGGTGGATGGAAGTTCACAGGCGAAGGTATGAAGGGATATTGGGGAAGGGTGTTGTTACAGTGGATGTGAATTGAATAGAGAGAGATGGTAGCAAGTGTGGTTTACTGCTAATGCCTTTTTTGTTTGTTTTTTGTTGTGTATATAAGAAGAGAGGATAGGTTACTGTGTATTGAAAGTGAGTTATGTTTTGGTGATTTTGTATCGATCCGTAAATTCTGCCAGCAACCAATGAAAATCAAGCATAGTATATTTAATATTTTTTTGTGACTAAAAAGCCCTTTAATGACAAAAATAAAAATAAAAACTTGAAAGTATAAAAAATAACTCAATTTAAAATGATTTTTTTTTTGAATATTTTATGAATAAAATATAAAGACCCAAAAATGACCGAAAATGATTTAAAAAAAACTGACGAAAATTTATCCGAAAAAATAAAATGAACACATTAAAATAATCTACATGTCACAAAGATTAGAAAATATTCAAGAAGTCAAAAAATCAAAAATAAAATAATAATAAAAATATCAGACTAAACAGACGTTTATGGTTAAAAATGAGACTTCAAACTACACCGAAAAATAAAGCGAGCATACCGTCATAATCTACGTGAAACGCAGATTCATAAAATGATCGGTAAAAGGTTAAAACTTGTAATATTTTTCTCGCTAATTTTCGTATAGTGTCGAATCGCTTTTAACAGCCTGTCTGTAAAACTTGAATATTTTTATTATTGACATATAAGAAACTTGGAGCCATGCAAGAAATGAGTAAACAGATAAAAATGCATGAAGTGAAATGTCAGGTATTTTTAACTAAAAAACGATGCAAACTTTGATTTAAACTGACTTTTCTGGTCAATTCAAATACGACTAATGATGCAAAATATGATGAATGAAGATATTTACTAATGATTGTGACCAAATGACAAAATATGGTATGAAAGTGCGACTGAAAAAATTAGGGGCGAAATTAAGGGTGCAACAGTGTGCCTTGATGAATCAGTCTTCGAGAATCCACAATCAACCGTACTTCTGGCTTGGGAGACTCAAAACCTTCATTGAGGCGCGACACCTGATGCTCTTGATTCAGACCTGTCTCTGCACATGACACAAAAGAACATGAACATACACCTTTGTATGCGATTAGAAATTAGTGATACATATGCTAAAAATGTTCAAAACACTTGACAATCTTCGCATAGTCAAAGCTCGAAGGTGAGACGTTAAAACCGACCGTATTTCGTGACCTTGACTTATCTTAAAAAATGCAAAAATAAAAATGGGATCTTAGGTCAAAAATTGGGGTACAACACTTTGTTTGACATTGCAGTTTAGCTTGTTCAGTTTGAATTTGTGCAGTTTGTCCCTTGTATTATATGCTGCCTTGTGCCTTCTATTTAATTGATTTATATGTTTGCAAAATAATTTTACTTTCCTCTTTGTGAACCAAGAAGAGAAATCTTCTTGTGATTTGCAAAGAGGATGAGCCAAACATGATGAAAACCAAAAAATCTGATTCCGGCTAACAATCTTTAATGATGAGTTTTTAATTGTCTGTCTGAGAATACTTTTCAATTTAACTGTATTGACTTCTCTTTTGTTTGTCTTTGAAGGTAAATACCAGTTGGGGATCAGAGAAGTATGAAGTAGAAGATGAAGACTTCAAGAGACTTAGAATAAGATTTATTTTCTGTTCAATTATTTGTAATAAACATTATTGTTAGTATTGTAAATAAATTTACAATATCCCAATAACATTTGTAACAATAATTAAAAATAAATAAAAATCCTTTGTCAGATATTTCTTTATTTCTTCTGCACTGTCGATTTAAATTATTTAAGTTTCTTGAATTAAAATAACTGGAAGTACACCCCAATAATTTTAACTCAGATAAAATAAATATCAACAAGCTTTGCAGTCTTGCAACCTTGCATTAACCAACAATACGCCCGGCATTCCAAATAACCAAATGCATTGCACAATTAAACAAACAAACGTCCATACGCCTTTCACTTCACTGATTAAACCAGCGCTTCAAACTTTCAAATCAAATGCCTCAGCTTCTATCCCAGATGTTTAGGCTTTAAGAAACAAACAGAAATCTTGAACAAGCGTCAAAGCAGTGTGACAGTCAATTAAACTACTGTGGATTCAAATTCTTCTGAGAATGCGTGTGCAAACCCTAATTTTGGATTTACTGTCAAAGAAACGTCTGCTTGATCAAACCCTGAGCCAAACTCAACCAAATCAAAAGGAACCCTAATAATTTGTTTGACTGATTCAAAATCAATGGAAACCCTAATTTTGGGTAGACTGATAAGAAAAGTCTGTTTGACCGATTCTTGAGCCAATCTGAAAAATCAGGAAAAACCCAAAGCTGTGATTTCTTGTGAAAAAGAGGAGGGCAAATTTTGGGGTACAACAATGGCTATACCCTTACACATACCCACACTCACAAATGCAGGTACCCTTCCATTCCGGATCCCATGGGTAACGATACTGCTATAGCCTTCAGTGACTCTAAAGATCTGATCTACCAAGCCGAATACGGAGGTGAGGAAGATTGTGAGGTGCCAGGGGAATTGGCCAGATTACTATAGCAAGAGGAAAGAACAATTCAGCCTCATGAGGAGCAGTTGGATACGATCAACTTAGGTACTGAGGATGATAAAAATGAAATCAAGATAGGTGCCAATCTAGAGCCGAGTGTCAAGGAGCGCCTAATTCAGCTATTGCATGATTATGTTGAGATCTTTTCCTGGTCATACGAAGACATGCCGGGACTTGATACAGACATTGTGGTACACCGTCTACCCACGAGAGAAGACTGTCCACCAGTGAAACAAAAAGTCCGCCGCATGAGACCTGACATGTCAGAAAAGATCAAAGCAGAAGTTATGAAACAGTTCAATGCTGGATTTCTGGCTGTTACTTCCTATCCTCAATGGGTTGCTAACATTGTTCCTGTGCCTAAGAAGGACGAAAAAGTGAGAATGTGCGTGGATTATAGAGACTTAAACATGGCCAGCCCTAAAGACGACTTTCCACTTCCACACATCGACATCCTGGTTGACAACATAGCTCAGCACAAAGTATTTTCTTTCATGGACGGATTCTCAGGCTATAACCAGATCAAAATGGCACCCGAGGACATGGAGAAAACTACTTTTGTTACACAGTGGGGTACTGTTTACCTTGGGTTTTGGTAAACAACCGCTGATCCTCCAAATGGTTACTTATTTGGTTACTCGCAGGATCGATCAAATTGATCCTATGGACATAGGTTGATTTTGATGTTTGATTAAGGTGGATAAGGCTTTAAATAAAAGGTTTCAAGTAAATTTCATAAAGGAAAGGCTTGGTAAAATAAACAAGGCTTTAAAGTAAAGGTTTGACAGGAAATGTAAAGAGAAAAGCAAGTAAAATTCTGGGAAAGTAAATGACTTTAATTGATAAAATTGGTGTTTCACACATACATTTCTCAACAATTCTTTCTCACACATTGGGTACTTGAATCTAAATGAGTGACTTTGTATGGAATAGTGAACACACGCGAGAAACTACATGTCTACTCCTATTTATACTAAAACATCCAAGTAACCGTCGGGCAGTTATGCTGCTTCGAGATCAATCCACTTGGCACGTTCTCCATACTCGACGCTCCAGATCCTTGCACGTTTGCACGTAGTAACTGCTGGAAACCGTTTTCCCTCCAAAGCTTTGAATTTCAAACTGCTCCACTCTGGACCATCGAACACTTTCATCAAGAGATGTCTTCGACGAAAACTCCTTCGACGTCGAAGGCAATCAGCCTTCTTCCTTGGAAGAAATCTTCTAAGTATTTTGCCATCTTTCGACGGGCACTTCGACAGGCTTAGCCAGTCGAAAGCATCTTTCAGCTTTAATGGCTGATATCAATCAAAACAAAGGTGTCGAATTTAGGAGCCAACAAATTGCCCCCCAAGAATGCCTTATTTCGACTCTGAAAGAAAAAGGCATTCTTTGAAACGCCATTCGACACCTGTCTTTCCACGCTTAGTCACAAGTTAACTTATGCACTTTTTGTTGCTTTTTACCAACTATTGGCAATCCCAAGAAACCATCATTGATTTGATCCTAGGACGTCACTTTCAGTACGGCGTGCAGTACCAAACGTCACTTCAGAATTTGTCATTATGACAAATCCCAAAAACGAGGACGCACGCTGCGTCCCTCTGTTTCTGCAGAAACGACCAAAACAACAGGGAGCTGCCACGCGTCCCACTAACTCCTGCAGCATTAAATGGCATTTAATGTCCTCGTTATTGGGGATTTTTCCCACTACTATAAATAGCAGTGAATATCCCATTGTGGGACTTTTTACGCCAACTAGCCTTCAAACTTCCTTGTTTTCGTACAAGCTTGCTCTCTTTGCAGAAAAACTCTTCCTCTTTCACTTCAATCTCCAAACTTAACAATGGCCTCTGCTTCTACTGCTCCCAGTGCTAACGCACCAACTGAACATGTTAAACCCAAGGTCTTCGTCACTGCTCCGGTAGTGAACTCTACAGGCAAACGAAGGGTTCCTGAACCTTCTGACATTTCCGTTCGCGATGCCTACTCGCGCCACTTGATGATCCCGGTTGGATACTCCAACCAGATCTTCGCAATGTCTGGCCCCATGAATCCAAGCATCTCTGAAGCTCTGAAGATCAAGAGCTATTTCCCAATCGTCGAGAAACTCAAGCCAGTAGCCTGCGCCAAGAAAGACGCAGAAGACAACGAAGACCCTACTCGTGAAAAAATCGACCTCCGCTTCTTCAACAGAGGGGTTAGAGTCTTCAGGTCTTGCCCTAATC